GCTGGGAGTTTATTCCTCCTGCATTGACCCAACACCACAGTTTGTAAATTGAACTTTGACTTGTCAAGTTCCTTTAAGACGATTCAGCCTGCTGAGTGTTGGGGATGAAGGTGGAGGCTACATGTTTCTCTTTCTATGCTTCATTTTATAAATTTGCTTTGTTGTCAGTCGTATTTATGATTTTATGACAACTACATTTCCCTCCTCGATTAATAAAGTTTCTCCGTGATGTTGTTTTTTATTAGGTTTGATGTAGTTGTGTTCTGTACTTACCTGTGGTAAACAGGAAGTTGTAGGTGGAAACATTACGGTAAGAAAGAAACCACTTCTATTATCTGGTGAAAAGTCAGCGGACTGTTCACCACATACGGTGTGTCATCTGTCAACAGGAGGAAGTGAGACGTATCCAGACGTGGGGGTGACAGAAGTACTGTAGCACTGTTTCTGCTTCAGCCTTGGTTGAGTCTGATATGATGCACTTTTATATGTCAGTGATTTTGATTTGTTTGCTTTCAATAAATAACAAAAGGACAACTTTGATTTGCTGATGATCATTCAGAGATTTTGCATCACAAATGTCAGGCGAGGTCTTCAGAGGAGGCGGTGATCAGACTGCTGCTGCCCCTGAAACCCAGAGGATGGATGTGCTGTGAAAAGCATTTAATACATCGTGATTTGTGACGTTTGTCACACTTGGACAAATAAAATATTGGAAAAAGACGACGAGAGTCAAACCAAAGTACACTTTAAAAATAATGATTTGATTTCTTAAAGGAAAACACTCGCGCAATGCTGCCTGCTTTAATACGTAGATGTACAAATATATTTTAAAATCAGGACTCAAGTGTGGATCATTATTGTTTGAAATAAGTTATTTCCTCTGATCTTTGTTTTAGTTGATTCTATTTAGAAAAGTGTTGCTTCAGCTTCAGCCTCATTAATGTTCTTCATGATCAATCATTATTTCTATCAGCATTTCTTATTTGCTGTTTTTTTTAAAACAAAAACTTATAATAATTACTAACATTTACTAAGAAAAAAAGGTTTTTATTTAAGCAACAGTACAGAAAACATGATCACCATTACTACCCCCCCACCGCACGCACACCATGTGATCAGACACACAATCACACAGAAGAAGAAGCACTGCTGTGTCTCAGAGCGTGCAGAGGTGTTCAGCTGTGAAGTCGGATCGAGGCAAGCAGGTAACACACACACACACACACACACACACACACACACACACACACACCTGCTGTTAAAAGGAATCAATCACTCAAACTATAACAGATCAGTCAGTTTTTCATCTTCTTTATTCTCATAGAATCTAAATTATTTGCCTTTTTTAGTGTTTCTGCTGTGACTCTCTCGCTTCCGCCTCTTTGGTTAAACTAAAATATTTGTGACATGAAATTTGTTTCGGTCATTTCTTCCTTTTAATTAAATCAGGTTTTCCACCTCATTTGCATTTTTCCTGACTGGCTGAGAGATGTGGACACACTCAAAAATAATATTTATGTTCAAAACTCTGACTTTGGGTAATTAATCATTGTAAATTTGTTACATAAGAACAATATAAAATGTTTAATGTGTGATTTTACATATTTCAGCTGCATTTTACTCAGAATTATTGCTTCATGTTTATGAGGCTAAGAATCTGTTTTTGAGTGTACAGATGTTTTTGCAGCTGTCCTTATTGTGGCTCTGATTGGTTCCCTCTGCTGCTTAGATAAACAGCTCTGCTTGCAAATGTTTATTAAACCTGAAACTGTCCTTGAACATTTTGTGTATTTTTATGGAATGACTGACTTAATGAGTGGCAACATGAAAACAAACTAAGAAGTCCACTTTTGAAGTGGATGAAGAATCTCTTTCCTATGAAAAGATCCTTAAATTGACATGTTACATGTTACATGTAACATGTAACATGTAACATGTTACATGTTACATGTAACATGTTACATGTAACATGTAACATGTTACATGTTACATGTAACATGTTACATGTTACATGTATGCTGGTTCTGTAATCTGTGACATTAACAAGGGTCTTAGTTTGAGTCCAGAAGAGCGTTTCAGTGAGCTAAAATAATGCTGTCCACTTTTTATTTTTGAGAAAACGCCAATATTGTTTAGTATTAACATGTTTTTAACAAGTGTTTGAGTCAGTCGACTTTTCATTTTTAGCTCATAAAATCAATTTTTGTGATAATTCTGAGGCTGAGTCCTCTCTAAATGGCTCGTTGATGGTCTCACTGTGTGTAGGTGTGTTGATAACCTTCTGCAGCCACTTAAAACACAAACATTTATCTTTTAAACCTTGTTTGTCCAAAATCAGATCGTCCACGTCAGAGTTACTTTGCTCTTGCTGTCTTGCTGCACTTCCACATCTCTCTTCACTTTCAGTGATTTCTGATATGTAGTTTTTCCACCTCTAAAGTTTTGGACCAGGTCATTTTAGTTCATCGTTTTAACAGACTGTGAAACTACTCACATCAAATTTCTTGTTCACGTTCACACAAAGAAAAGCAGAAGAAAAGTTCAGTGATACTCAA